TGGACCAATTGCACTAATTTAGGGGCACTGGGGTGAAAACTAGGCTTTGAAGCTACTCAACTGTAACCTTTTGAACCCAAAGGAGTATCAGGAAATCTTTTGGAGCGTAAATAATTTTATACACACAGAAAGTTACTATTTTGCGAGATTTAATTAAAAAATTGATGATGAGAAAAACATCCCAGACATATTACCAATATATCAATTCGCTGGCACGAAAGTTCTGCCGAGAGAAGTGAAGGGGCAACAAGCCAAAACCATCTGTATGCTTTGGTAGTTACGAAAAATCACCAAAATAAACTTCATTATACAATCAGTTATTTTTGGTAAAATATGATTGTTATCACATATAACTGAAAATACTTGTGAAGATGAAAGCATTACTGTAAAAATTAATTTTCACTGAAAAAACGTTTTGGGTGTTTTGTATGGAATATATTTTCACTGATTTTTGACGAGTTGAATGTAAAATATAGGAAAAAAAGTATATTCACTGGATTTTATTTTCACTGAATCATACCTTCAGCAAAAATAGCAAAAATAAAGTATTCTACAGTATCGATAATTATTAACTTTGCCGCACTCAGAAAAAAATGAGAATCCCTATAGACGCTTTTATGAACATTTCGGTCGTCAAAAATAGGCGACGACACTCAAAATACTGAATGAATTATTAACTTTGCCGCACTCAGAAAAAAAATGAGAATCACCTATAGGCGCTTTTATGAACATTTCGGTCGTCAAAAATAGGCGACGACACTACTGAATGTGAATCAAGTTTATATCGGTATATATTTATATGGGTTAAATATCAGTAGCTTACTTTGTGTTAAGGACATATTTAAACAGTTTCAAGGCACCCCAGTACCATCATCATCTTCACTGTCTACCAATATATGCATGCATTGCATAACAGTCTTGACTTCATCACGCCAGTCTTCATCTGAAATAAAGACGAAAACAATTAATACAATATTCATGCACATTTGTATATTCAAACAACTAAATAAGTTTATTTGTATCGTGCCAGGCTATTGGGTGCATATAAAGGAGAAGAATATTAAAGGGGCACTTCCAGTTAAGCCTAATCTCACAACAAATTTACTTTGTAAACAACATAAACAATAGTGTCCCATGATTCTTTGGTGCAATCCATGGGATTGAGCGGTTCCCCTTTAAGTGTATGCATACAAGTGTATATTGTATATATAAACCTCATCTACATCATCTATATGGAAGTACATGAACTGAGTAGAGGTGTATATCTGCATACAAGTATGGAATAAAAATATGGATAATGTACATTGTGGAGCCCATGATTTGACAAAACAAACGGTATAATTTATCTGTGATTCAAATCATCTAAAGTGGTCAGAAAAACAGTGTATATGGAGTAGTCACAAAGTAAACGAATACACTGCTGTCAATACATAGGGTGGTGAATCTTAATGTAAATATAAACCTATTATGAATACGTATTTGACATTGACACGTATATTACCTGAAGCGTATAGTGTCACTATCACTTACAAATAGATTACAAGTGGATTGTAGGGATAAATACAGAGAAACACATTTGAACAAAACATTATCATTTTTTTTTTTTTTTGCTAGTTGAACACAAAGCGAGTCTTTCAAGAAGAGATGAGAAAATTGTGTTCATGGAGTCTTGAACAGGTTACAGTGTAAAGTACTTGTTCGATTAGAAGTTAGACAAAAATATGATTTATTTCGGTACAGAAATATCTACCCTAAGTGGTTTCTTGTCATCGTCTGAATTTGTTACATCAACAATTTCTCATCAAAAATAAATATTATTTGTGGTCCAAATGATTGAAATGTATACAAAAAGAAAAACAAAAATGGTGATTTTAGGGGGAAAAAATCAATAATAAATCAATAATGCCATAATTTGTTGACAATTAGGTTAGATAATACTACATGTAGCTCATTTGCATATTAATTTTGTTTTAATAGAAATCATGAAAAACCTCTATTGTTGAAAGTATTTCTGTGAGCAGGAATGGTGTAACCATGGGAATAATGCACTACAAAAAATACAGCAGCACTGGCAAGCAATTTATCATTGCAGGGAAGCAATATTACACAACTCACATGTTGGGAGAATTCTGCAAATTGAAATATACATGTATCCTATTAAAGTAACCATAGCAACTACAATCACACAAATTGGCTTGTGTGGTGGTGAGATCTATGGTCACCTACATGTTTGTCTACACAATAGATCACGCAGGTAACCATGGTTTTAAATTGACATGTACAACACTGCATTTCATAGGTGTCCGTACACGTGTACATACAAACGTGCCATATAATGTAATCCTCAAGATATGGGGAAAAAACTTTGTATATAAGAGAAAACCATTTCAAATGGTAAAAATTGAAATTCAAAATAAATAACAAAATTGCATACTTCTGATTCAGTGTTGTTTTTGCGAACTAAGATAAAATGCTATGAAGCAAACTGTGAATGAATGGAAAGTACTTTTACACTGTACGTATGCCAAGTGAAGACATTTTTTTTAACAATGACAAATGCATCCCAGCAATCCATCTACTTCACGATACAACGTATGAGTACCACCAACAATGCCACGCCCTTCTTGTGTGCGAAGAACAAAAAATCCCCCAGACAACGAGAGACAGCCAGAGGTGATTTCCGAACAATAGAAGACAAATGCCAATTGTTATTTAACAGCCTTGTCGTCTTACAATAACAATGTCGCTATTCCATTAATATTTTACGCTTCAGTGGTCAACCATAATGCATCTCGGGTTCTGACCACACATAGTGAAATTGACATTGTCGTTCTAATCTGGACAACAAATCACAATCAAAAACATGTTATTTTAACAAATTATGTTTATTTACTAAATAGTTGTGAAGTGGTACATAAATAAAGCGGCTGATCGAGTACCTAGAAAGTCAGTTTGTTGTTGAAGTTTACTTTAACTGTTATTTGATTGGGTGTTATACAAATGTACTTGAACTTCTAAATATACGGACGACATTAAAAACAAACAGGCTATTTCAAATAACAAACACCTCCCTCGCATTATATTATTATAGTCTTGTCAGCTATCATCAACAATCCCATGATGCATCACTGAAACATGAAACTACAATTGATTTTTGGTTTACAGAGAGTGAAACTGAAAGTTTAACATCAATAAAACCACAAACTGCTCAGCCAGAAAATAAATAAAAAAGTTTCTGGCCAATATGTTTAATTCTAGAATTGATGAATTGAGTTTTTTTTTTCATTTTGAGATTGTCAAAAAATAATTTGATCTTATTCTGATTTTTTATAAAAATTGGATATCGTTTGTTTCAAATAATGCCATCATCAGTACAACATGCAATTAATTATTCATGAAGAGTTTTATTCAGACAGAACAATGAATGATAGTGACAGATTAATTTACTACTGTTATCATTTCTTAAGTTCAGGCAATCACTTCATTAGGCCACACCGACATAAGTTTATGGATGACATCCGCGCGCGCATTAGTTTTCGCCTGTTCAATCTTTGATGACGAGTCTCCACAGATGGGTTTTCTGTCCGTAACTTTCCGACTCATATTGTCGCAAAGCGCCGGCTTGTTGTGAAACTCGTTTTGGACTACCTCAAAACGTCACAATTTTGTCGTAAATGATCTTCTGCACATGCGTATTGTATTGCCGGGAATTCCAACATGGCAACCACGTCACCATAATACGTGAGCATAAAAGTTCAGAGGAAAAACGTAGGAATTGTTTATAAAATTAAATCAGTGTGGCCTTACGATTCAACAAATCACTGAAAAGTCACAGCGCAACACATTTCAGGTTGAAAACATATTTTTATCGTCTGTACACGTTATCCTCATTGAATATCTAGCACACAATGTATCGCATTCTATAATTACAACAGCTCTAATTTTAGTAAGATCTCAGAATCTTAACAAATGTTACTTTTCTTTTGAGAAATGCCTACGAGGCACAATTCATTTCTGGGCTTGATACATGTCTATCACATAGCTAATAT